CCATGAAAATCTAAAAATATCTGTTGATTTCCTAAATAAACGATCTATTGCCTGGCCCTTGTCTTCTGTTGTTACAATACTACTATCTAGTTACCCAACATGCTGAACTATTTCGGGTGGAACATGAAGTCTGGGGCTAACTCCTTTTGTGGTGAGAGCTGTCCGCTAGCCGAAATTGTAGACAACAATTTACGTCAATGTTCACATCCCGAATCAGTCATGAGAAAAACAATAACAAAAAAGTTTAACCTTGAGAATATCTCCAGCCAATCACAGAGGAGTTAAAGTGTGGAAATATGATTCACAGATATATGAGAAACGGCTACAAAGAGATAACAGAATAACCTTCAGCAAGAAAACAACTAATCAGAAGAGGTAGCTTCTCCACTAACAATAACGCTAATAATAATGCACATAAAAATCCATAAATACGTCTTGATTTTCTCAATAAACGATCTGTTGCTTGGCCCTTATCTTCTGACGTTACACTTGGAAGTCGAGTGTCCTCATACCAATGAGTCACACCTTTACAGTGTATTAAGCAGTCCAGTGTGTCTATCACAAGAAGTATACTCATATGAACAAACGTACAGGTTACTGTTACAACCTACACACAAATGGACTAACTTAAGTTCAAGTCTAAAAACTTAACATTAAAAAAATGACAGGGAATGCTGTTTCAACAAAAGCAATCAGTTCAAATTTGACCACGGATTGATGTCAGTTAAACAACCACTAAAAACCAACACAGAGTACTGGACAGGTGTTTCGTCGTCACCTGGGACTCTCATTGGTAGTGCGCACCCACCACCAACCACGATTCAAACCCACGACTTTCCGATTGCAAAGCAAGTTAGAGTTCATGGGCCACTGAATCGCGTCTCAGTGGCTGAGTAGTCTACGAGCTGGGCTTGTAACCTGAAGGCCCTGGGTTCGAATCCTGCGGTGAGTGCGTACTGCGGATGAGTCCCAAACTAGGCTGACAAATCAGCTGTCCAGTAGTAATGCCTAGTAGTTTTAATGACTCTCTAACTGATACCAATCCGTGGTCAAACTTGAAACAAGTTAAATCCCTAAAAACTAACTCTAGAAGGGCAATCAGTTCAAATGGTACCAAGTATAGAAGTTTCAACCATTGACTTCTAGCATTTCGACAGATTCAGTCATGGTTTCTTACATCACTCGGAATTTAAGCGACAGAGGACAAGTTTCATAATATATGTGAGAATTTTGTGCATTGTACAATAGATCAATTACTTATAGTTGTACTTCATTAGGTATTTACACACACACGCACACACACAGAATGTATCGTGTGTAAACAACTACTGAAATACAATTCTAATTAATCTAAGTCACATCTTGATTTGGTTGTGTAAAGGTTTCTCCTGACTAATATAGAGTAAACGAGTGCCACGTTGATATGCAGATATGCATTTACAAGCACAGTGGTAAGGTACACTCCTATTTTAATTAGACTATCAGTTATACCTCGTGGTGAAATTCATCTACTTAAACCTTAATTGCAATTTGATACCATGATGTGACTGACCGCCTGGTTTCAACATAGAAATCTGCACCGGTGTGCAGCGGTTAAAGTTGCCACACTCCATGTAGCACACAAAGCAAGCGAAGAAAGTAAAAAAAAGATTAGTAATATGGAAGAACAACAGAATTTTATTCGATATTATAAGTCACAAAGAGTGAATGCATCTGCGCCACTGAGAAAAAATTTGGAGCTATATCACCAATTGTCTCTAGCCATTGGTTTTTACCTTCCTGAGGATCTCAACTAGTAATTCTACACCTCCCTAGATGACAGGTTTAAACTAACTGTTGTGGATTTCATTGACTGATGAAGCCATGTTTTCGTTTTACCACCACTAGCTAACTCTCTTCCAACCTGACACATCATATGTCAGCTAACATTGCCCATTGTCGAGGAAGGCGATGCCTAGTTATGCATGCGTAACATATGTCCTAACCATCTCAATCGGTGTAACTACGCAACCTCATCGACTGATTTCCCCACCTTACCTAGCACTCAACGCCTAACCTCAACATTGCTCACCATGATCTACTAGAAGAAAGCTTCAGCATTTAAATCGAAGTTACATCAGGAATTATGTTCAATAAAACTAAATAGAGGAGTAGATCTTCCCCCAGGCAAATTCAACACCCACATATGCATACAGTTTAGATGGATGCGATACATGAACTTGCTGTGAAGGTCAATAATGGTGCACAATAGGACAAAACTTTATGTCACATTGAAACGAATATTTGAAATAATTTAAAAAGGGGGTGAGACGGGTATATTTTCGAATTATAGACATTACATAAGTAATTATATCACCACACTTCGATAAAACTGGTCTGTATACATTTCACTATGGTGTAAATCCCCATTTAGGACATTAGAAAACGAATCAAGTTCAAGAATACTGAGAAATATTCCGATGTACAAAACTCGGAACAAGAACAAGGCAACAAAGTCACCATATGTATATACATATATACATATACGTCGGTGGCACAAAGGTAGAATGCTCGCCAACCACGCCTCATATGGTCCGCGGTTCGACACCCGGACACATACACACTATTTTACCTCGCTAAGCCAGTAATAAAACTGGTAAAGAGGGAAGGTTGGGCATGAGGCTAGCAATGCCATCCCGTAAAAATAAACACTACTGCTACCGAAACTTCAAGCCCTATGTTCCACTGGGAACGTAAAGGAATGATATATATATATATATATATATATATATATAGTCACATATTTAATGGGTGGGGGGTCGTCATACTACTGCAGTGGGACAGGTTCATACAAAAGAATGATAACTTCGATTGATAAGCAGTACTTGTAAATGAATATGAAAAGTTTGCAGATTCGATCTTCCACAAAGACCCGCTTCGATGGCCTCTCATTCTATGGTTCTCATTAACCTTCTAGCTACAATATGTTCCTGATGAAAACCATACCCTGAATAATAGATTTCTTACAAGTTATCTAACTGAACTATGTAATTTGGTATCAGTCAATGATTGATTCTGAAATAGACCTTAGTAAGTGAGTGTCAAAAGATTTGCAGGCTAAAACCAACAAACTGGTAGAAAGACAGAACTTCAAGCGAACACAGAGGTGATGAAGGTAACCAACCAACCAACAACAAAAACCAATCACCATCAGCGGAATAAATTTGAAAGACGACGTTATTTCCTTCACTTATCTAGGAAGCATAGTTTCAATTACGGGCGGAACGGATGACGATGTAAAAAAGCCAAAATTGGAAGGTCACGACAGACCTGTATCACTCTGAAATCAGTTTGGGAATTTACCACACTCAGCATAAACAAGTAAATTCTAATTTTCAACACAAACGTTAAGTCAGTCAGCTCTTGTCTATGTGGGTGAGAAACTTGGCCAATGAGTCATGAAAAGCATTTCTAACAGGCTACTGAAAACTTCTGTCAACAGCTGCCTTAGCTCTATATTGAAGATTAGATGGCCAAAAAGGATTAGAAACAAGAAACTCTGGGAACAAACTAACCAAGAACCTATTGCTCAATAAATATGTAGAAGAAAATGGAGACGGAGCGAAAACATGCTAAGGAGACTGTTGAATGACATCATGTGCAATGTCTGTCTGTCTGTATTCGACACAGAACTTTGCACATATGTACGGCAGTTCAAGTCGCCACACTCCAGGTAGCACACAAAGGAAGAGAAGAAATGCATAATATAGACAGTAAAAAGAGGTGAGAAAAGGAACAGTAGCAACGAAGAACAATATAGTTTCATTGGAAATCATAAGTCACAAGGAGTGGATGCATCTGCGTTAGCCATTGAGAACGACTTTGAGCCATATCACCAATTGTTTCCAACCATTGGTTTTTACTGTCCCGAGGACCCCAACCAGGAAGTCTACACCTTCCTACGTGGCCTAGACTAACTGTTGTAGATTTCATTGACTGGTGCCATGTTTCGGTTTGACCGCCGCTAACTCTTTTCCAGCCTGCAATGTAGGCCATCGCTCGAGTGGAACGCAAATGGGTAACGACGAGTTGGGCGTCATTTCGAGGGTGACATACAGGAGTTCATGTGAAGAAGAGATGAGTTGTTGAAGCCCTATGTTCGACTCGGAACCCAAGGGAGCAATAATAAAATTAATAAATAATAGTAATAAATGTTAAAAGGAGGCTTATCTAACCTATGAGATAAAAGAATTGAGTAGAGCTCTCGAAGGATGAAATTAGCAGCATATAATAAATTAATGTTGAATAAAAGGCTACGAATCATTGAATTAAAACCTAACAACAAGAAAGTGATTTGTATGACTGGCTCACTACACGATTACTAAGCACTGATGCTAAATTTCAAATCAGCACCTGTTAAGTACAAAAATTTCCTACTGTTTAAGATTTGCAATAAACAAACATGGGTGTATTGCAGAAGAACTGTTAGAATGAATAGTGAGTGTCTTTAGAAGCTGTAAGATATTGAAGAGTGAATGTGATGACTGTGGCTATTCAGAACAATATTAAGCTACACTATCGAGAATTTTCAACCCCCACTGATTGTCAGTCAGAAGAACCCTAGCCGGTTAAATATACACCCTTCCTATATGGCTCAGATCAATAAAGACTTCATGGATTGATGACATGTTTTATTCAGAGAAGCACTAATCCCTTTTCTTATTAGTCAACCAATCACACAATACTCTACTTCACACATTTTTGGACAGAAACGGGATAGAAAGAAATGAGAAATGAACTCAGCACTCGTTTATGTCATTGTGGCACTCTCCATATATATATATATATATATATATATATATATATATATATATATATATATATATAGTTTCGCAAAATTTCATAATACAAATGTAACAGAAGACAAACAAACGGACAAACAGTAATCCAAACATACAAGCATACAACCACTCCCACCCAGTGGGCAAAAACACTATCGACAAGATAGGTAAAACAACAAGTACAAATTAACGTGTTTATTCAACAAATACAAGCGCATAGGCACGCATGCAGACAGGCACATAATGTCTTTCAATTAAAAAACAAAAAGAAACGTAAAAAGATCACAAAAACTAGAATATATCAGTGTAAAAATCCCAGTTACAATGGATAAGAGAAGCGTGCAAGCGTTGAAACACGCACACGCACGCACACACACACGACGTTCGAAGAAAGAGAGTACATATCAAAACCAATAAATTATACAATTAGATAAAGGCAAACCTAAGATAGACACACACATGAGACAAAACCTAGTTTACATAACCAAAATGTACCTATTAAAAAAATGTGAAAACAGCACACCTTTCGTAGATATCATCCGTAAAAGTGAATATAAAAAAAACAATGGTCTCATGAAAAAAAAAAAAACAACGGCATAAACCAAAAAAAAGAAATCAATTTAAATCAAGGCACTCTCCTCCAGTGGTTGGAAATGAAGGACCACCAATGGATTGTAAGTGAAATAATAATGCTGGTTTTGCGTAAGTCAACAACGATAAAAAGAAATTGAAGTAGGTACAGAGTGCACACACATATGTATATATCGCTTTCTTCCTTGTTATCCCCATCAAATCAACTGTTTGGTTTAAGGGATAACAGAATACCACGCATTCTTGACATATCAATTGCAACTTTTTGTTTCGACTGAAGTTAAATCAAAGGAAAAAGAAGAAACAGAACATTCAAAATCAGGGCTACTAAACAAATAGGAATCAAAATTAGCCAAAATTTTAATCATTTGAAAGTACACTGAATAAAACTATAAACTCTCATTTGATCAGGCATTCTTCATTTCATCATGAGTTGATATGGGTTAGGGAGCTAGTAGAGTACTGCTCAGAAGTCCGCTCCGTCCTCCTTTATGGCTGAGACATGGTCATGGAAGACATGAAAAGCCTGGCTGATCATAGGTGTCTGCGTTCTATCTTCCGTGTTAGGTGATACAACAAGGTGAACAATATTGAGGTTGAGCGTCGAATGCTAGGTGGGTGGGAAAGGAAATCAATCGACGAAGTTAGGAAGCAGTTGCATCGATTGAGATGGTTGGTACAAGTGTTACACATTCCTAGCCATTGCCTCCCTTGACAATGGGAAATGTTAGCTGACATAGGATGAGTCAGGTTGGAAAAGAGCCAGTGGTGATGAAACGAAAATATGGCTTTATCAGTCAGTGGAATCCGCAACAATTAGTTCAAGCCAGCGAGCCAGTCACGTATGGGGGTGTAGAATTACTAGTTGGAATCCTCCAGATGGTAAGGACCAATGACGCCTGGAGACAATCGGTGATATGGTTCGAAATCGTCCCCAATGGCTGGCGTAGATCCATTCATTCTTTGTCATTTATAATATCCAGTAAAATTCTATTGTTCTTCTATATTACTACTCTTTTTGCCTCATATTTCTGCTTATTATCTATCGTTACTCTCTTCTCTTGCTTTGTGTGCTACATGGAAGGAGTGTGGCTACTCGAACTGCTACACACATGTACAAAGTTCCGTATTGAAAGCAGTCAGTCTATCATTATTTGACTTCGTCCTGACAAACAGCCACTATACAGTTGGTGCATACAAAGTGATTAATCACCAAATACGGATGGATATAAAACTATCTAATCTGAAGAGGAAATCATCCAAAAAGATATTTCTTGTGCAGTGATCTGTGTATTGGAGTCTCTAAACAGGTAGAAGTCTTCATGATGGTCTGAAATTGTTTAGATTCAAGTAGTGCTTGATCATTCACACAAATCCACTACATTGACTCCCGAAGCTTTCGACAGAAAAATACCATACCAATGTAGGCAGATAATGCACAGTAGTAATTTAACTACTGTAAACAAATGATCAACTAAACAGTATCAATTACTGTTTGATTTTAAAAAAACACTGGGTGCCTCAGTGGCTTTTTAAATGCTGACTAACTGAAAGTTAAACTGAATATTTTGTGTTATTTCATCCTGATTTGGGACTCTTCATCAGTACGCACAAATTGGCAGACGTTGGAATAGCCGAACGGTCTACGAGCCTACGTTATAACCGGAAGGCCCTTGGTTTCGAACCCCAGTAGACCAGTAATGATGAAGAGTCCCTAACGAGGACGAAACAGGTGTCCAGTGGTTCTCTACTTAATATCAGCTTGCGATAAAACATGTAACCAGTCAAATGCCTGCAAACTAACACTTGACATCTTGCTCACCACAGCTACTTGTGATCGTCCGAGTGTAGAAAATGTAATAACTACTCATGAAAAGATCACTGACTCATAGCTAAAATATAATTTTCAGATAGTATGATCTAGTGAAGGAATTAAGAACGTTATATGCAACTGCATAACCGCACACATCATCGTATAGCGGATTAAAAGTTACGTCAACTGGATCAATATGGAAAGCTTCATGACAGCATTGAACCATATAGTCACAAATAAATACTAAACTCTATATCACTATAGGCCTGACACAATGACATAAAGTAGATAAGCATCTCCAAGTGAATTCAACTTAACAAATATATAGGTAATGTCAAATACAAAATGCTCTGTGTTAATAGGAATACCTGAAAATCACATAAATTGCAGATACTCTCCCAAACAGCAGAGTCTTTTACAGACGGTTTACTACCGCCATTTATGAATTGACCATTTAAACTATTGGAATCACCTTTCTTCTCGCGTAATTCACGCGATCTGGTTTCCAGTTGTTGATGATAATTCTTGTACCAATCGTTTAACTCCTATACAACATAGAAAAAGAATATATGATTCTCTGATATCATCTGTAAACTTACCCCCCCCCCCCACAAGCGAAAACTAATAACATTATGATCAGAAATACAAAAGCATTCAAAAATTGTGAATATTGATGATAATGAATATTGACGAAAATGAAAACAATACGGTATAACGAAATGCTAAATTCAGTCCTTGTGATGGATATCATTACGAAAATAAGTAAGAGATGAATATGCAGTGAATAAGAATGAGTAATGCTTAGTTTTAAAGGAAACTTACACTAATTAGTAAGTTTCCTTAACCAGATTCAAGTTACTTCCTGAATACCGAAACAACTGCCTTTTCATTTAAAGCCAGAGTTAAATGCGATACACTTGAAAAAAGATTCAGCTAACAAATGGAGTTCCATCACACGAACTATTTAAATCTGACTAGTTCATTTCAAAAGATTGGACAATTTGAAAGTGTATGGACAACGGATTACACGGTTAGTATTGACGTAACACACATTTTGTGGTGAGAGCTGCCTGCTAGCCAAAATTGTAGACAACAATTTACGTCAGAGTTTACGTCCCGAATCGGGGTTATGAGAAAAAAACAATAACAAAACTTGACCTTGAGGAACTCGCCAACCAATCACAGCAGATTTAACTTGTGCAAATACCCATAGTGGAATTACACTCTACCACAGTGCACAAGTTTTATTCTTATATCAATTGTGCAAATACGATTCACAGATATATGGCCTGACTTTCTAAGAAACGGCCACAAAGAGATGACAGAATAACTTTTAGCAAGAAAACAACCAATCAGAAGAGGTTGCTTCTCTGCTGACAGTAACGAATAATAATGTACATAAAAGTCTATATATGTTGATTTTCTCAATGAGCGATCTTCTGTCTCTACAATTTTAGCAGATTTTCAACTGCTATGAAAATGCTGCTTACCACCACTCAACATCTAACAGCTGATGAACGAACAGTTGAAAGAGACAAGTATATTTCAACTTAAACATAAACATAATTCATCAGAAATTAAACTAGAGATCATAGAGGTAATCTTCCCGACCAAAAACCGCTACCTTAACTTGATGGTCAAGCTTGCATAACCCAACGAGCTGCACTGGCTGGAACCAGTGTTCCTGTAGGGTTGCACCATGCCAGAAAAGAAGTTCGGTTAGACCAAAAGTAGTTGTTGTCACAGAGTGTTTGTGCTATTTTGGGGGATCTGAAGACAAAGTCGTACTGCTGACTAATAGGGATGTAAAGGCAGTAAGGTGTCTTCCTCAGATAACTGGCATCTTAGCGTGTTGTTTCTCTACTCTGGACAGGGGGTTAGAAAAGGTCGACCCCTAAAACTGTACATTCCCAGTTAGCTTACAGTGGTTCACAGCCAGCGACAAGATCTTAATACGGACACAACTGCAAAAGCCAATTCAAACAGGCCGTGTGTGAGGAGTTTCAAGCAGTTGTCCCTCGGCTCTGCAGTCACGCGACACATTCTATTTCGGGGACCCCGAGGAAAAAACAACTCCCGTGGTGTGGGCAGCCGGGAAGTAACAATTACCCACACACTTTCAGAAGCACACAAAGCATTCCTGATCATCACCCACCTTGATCTACGTCACCATGATCTTGCTTCTCTCCTACTGATAATAATATTTCGCAGACAGGTCCCTCATCTCTTCACTGCGTGATCAATAATAGCGACAACAGCCATAAAAGCACTACCAGTAGTCTCTTAAAGCCACGCTGCCAACGTCATACTGGAGCATTCAACATGCAAACCCTATGACAAATTAGACAACAGGCTTTACTAGCCAGAACTCTGGCATCTTCAGCCATGGATGTATTTTTTAGTTCGGAGACACACATACAGGACCCAAGCGTTGTCAACGTTTAACCTCCCTGGCCAACAAGTTCAATCTGTGAAATTCCCCTTACAGGTGACAGGGGATTCTTCGGCTTGATTGCCAGGACTAACAGGTGTAGCAACAGCATTTAGTGTTAGGGAGGAAAAATCCTTATTTGACTGGATCCCGGTAGATAATCATGTGTCATATGTGTTATCCATCTGAAGCGATCCGTTAGAACGAAAGACTGAGACACCCATCGACGTCTTTTTAGGACCTCCATTTACACGCCAACTGACTGTAGTTCAGTTGTAATAAAAGACGAGTCATATCAAAAGCTGTCTAAAATTGTGGCGCAAATGCATTCGCTCTTTGAGATTATCCATATCCATGAGGCCCTAACTTTTTCCATACCACTATTCTCTCACCCTTGCATTCTTGCTTACCACTGTACTTCTGAATCCTTTTCCCCTTTTTTGTGCAACATTGAGTGTGGCGATTTGAACTATTGTACATCTATGCTAAGCACTATAGTGATATCAGTCATTTAGTCAAAAAACAAAGGAATACACGCTTAATCATAATAGACTGCTGTACCACTTCAATCAAATCACTTTCATCAATCACACTGTGACCGGAAAATGACAAACTGCACCATTTTATGCAGCAGTATTTTCAAGATATAAATGTCACCATGTCTATGAGACGGCAACCAGTATACAATAGCAGCAATGCCTCTAGACACAGTTATTTTTTAAACATATAATTCTAACTCTTCTTGTGAAGCATGCAAAGATATATACGTGTACATTGTCTGTAAAAATTGCAAAACGGCTGCTAATCCACACACATAAAAAATGTAGAAATCTTACAGCAATGACGGAAAAGCCATTGATATTTATACTTATTCATCATACAAAATGAGTTACCTTCTTTCCATTCTCAATAAGCTCTAAACATTTTTTCTCCTCTTCTGTGTCTTTAGCTTTTATTCGTTTATTGAATTCATCGCGCCATGCTTCAGTACCACTAGATTGCAAATCAGACTCCGTCGCATTATAGTCACGATCATAATCGTTAACTGCGAAATCAGGTTCGGATGAATTATGCTCACCATGCGAGCCGTTTATTTTCGATTCTCCATTGAGGAAGACATAACTAGCATCCGAAGTGGGTTCGTTAGGTTGAACTGTAGGATCTAAACGTTCGATAAGAAAAACACTATTGAAGACAATAAGGGAATCTGACATTTGACACAAGACCAATATTCTCACAGTGCACTTGTATCTGATTAAATAATCAGATTTAAGAGAACTAGCAGTGAAAATTACTGTAAGTCAAGATTTAATACACTACTACTGAAATAAAAAAATTCTTGATGGTTGATGATAATTATGAAAGTTAGGTTTGAATAAGATGCTACGAAAAATGACAAAATAAACCATAAATCATGAAATTTAAGGATCACCTTGCATGAATTTTCGCATGTTTTTCATATTATTAAGGTGTACAAGTTCGTGCACTAGTTACTGAAATCCCGTTCGTAAGTGTTTCACTGCAATTATTCATGAAGAACCAACACACAGTTTAATCACACCTAATATTAATTCAGATATTCTATTGGTTATAACCACGTTAATGTTAGGTATAACTTATTGTCCTAAGCAATTAGCCATCCCCTAACAAGTTCCCAAGTCGACTTTCAATCACTGAGTCATGAGTTTTGACCCACTCATCGTTTCCATTCACCGAGGTGTGGGTAGCTTGGTCAGGAACATTTGCAACCCCATGTGAATGCAAGTGCTGTTGACTGGCATTCAACTGCGTTTGTTTTCGAAATATCATTACATTCATTTTCGACTTGGTAGCCTAGACTAAAGTGTAACTGACATTCCGGTGCATAAAAACAGGAGATACGCATCATCGTCACTGTGGTCGCATACCTTGACTGCCTAAGCACTCTAGATCGCTATCAACATTAACTACGTAGTGTTTTATGTAAGCAGAGGGCATGAGAATCGCTTTAACGATAACAATAAATATCTCAAGTGATTTTTGATGCTTTACAGTAGTTGAAACATAATAAAAATAATACATTTAAAACTGCGGAACCAGAGAACAATTATTCTTGATATACTTCCAGTTATATTACATGACTTGATGGTTATAACCAACACGTCAACACTGATGCTCTGTACAAGTCTCAATAAAAGTTGCACGCTGATTTAACATCACACTATGCAAGAACTTTTACCTGAACAAATGCACACATTTATAACACTATTTTCACAGGTGTCTATTATATCGCATAGTATTCACCATATATATATATATATATATATATCATTCATCTGAGTCACAGAGAAAGAACTTTCCTCCCCGGGCTTGATTTTATGGGAACGCCGGGGACAGCTTTCTTAGATAACATCGCTAAGAATATGTATGTGTATCGATGTCCAGAATCTGTCTATTACTTCTCGCCCCAAACTTGAGAAATAAATTACACAGACCCTACCACACTTTTACAGTTGCCACAAGTTGAAAATTTTAGGTAAAGTTCAGAAACAGTTAGGTTTGAATTTTGGTCGACAAGATTTCGGAAATTATGTCACATAGGTTGGGTGAGGATATATGCAAGTTCCATCGTCGTGTGTGATATGTGCATTGGTAGCATGGTGGTGACCAATGTAACGGTTTTGTCCTAGGTGTTAAGTGCCAGCAAAAATATCCAATGAATTAACTACATGGTCACCGTACTAGGTGACAGCTTGATATAAGATGTTAACAGTCATAATCGAAGTGCGACTTGTGTTACCTACAGTATGAAAATTGTAAGTGCTGTCTATGTGCAATTATTTCTATATATGCACATAATTAACTAGTTCCGGCAGTGGTTAGTAACAACGGTGGTTGGAAAACGCAATCAAATAAATATGAATGCATAAGAATCATGTTGTAAGAAAAGAGGAACATTAGAGAAAGACATAATATGAACTTATGAGATAACCAACTTAGGACATGTACCTTATTTGAATAAATTTCATCACATATTTGGTTACTCTTCCGAATAAGTTCTATTGCCAGTTTCATTTAAAAAAAGATGCAATGGTAAGTTCACCTTACTTGTAATGTAAGACTTCATTACTAGACATTTCATTATTTTGAAGTGGAACACTATGACTTTTAACCTAACCCAAGAACAAACAACAAATAATTAGCATACGTCTCCAAAATCCCGCCCCCCACTCATAATGATAAATGAATTTTCATATTCCAAACCACAGAAGTACCAAGATCAGTAGAAATACTGGAGCAACTTTCGGGCAGGTATAAACAGAATAATCTGATATGCAAACATTTTACCTCCTACTTTTCGCTTACTAATAAAATTATACATAACTTACCCATATCATAAAAAATAGCCTGGTGTAAGCGTATTAATCCTATGGGACTTAATTAAGGCCTATCATTATGAGACACCCTGGGACACTCCTCAGTAACGAATCTGTAATTTGTCATACGCTGTTTCGCCAATCAAGTGCACCAAGCAAAAATGTACAAAACAATGACGCATACCAATGTACACTGAGCATTCATCATTCACATCAAAACCACTGATATATTAATGGTATTATAACACTACTATCGATATACTATGATGAATAAAATATTACCTGGGGAGTTTTCATCTAGCCTGAAGTCATCGCCCAAGTCACCGAGAGCCTCTTGCTCGCGTGCAAGGAAATCAGAAACCGGATCAAACTCTGAAACAGAACCCATACGTGAGTAACGCAAAAAGTAAAGTAACGCGGTAACTCCGTATTTGTTAAAGACAACAATGCAATAACCTGGTCTATTTTATTTCCTCAGCTAAATAGATGTCTTCTTGGTTATTAGCCTAAGGGTTAATACTACAATAAAAACAAAAATTTCACTACTGATAGATATTATTCGATTATACTGGTTATATCAGATTCAGATTCAGATTTATTGGTTGAGGATAGAAGGCTTGGAGCCTATGTTAATCCTTTTCTAGTAAATTTCTGTGGTTGTCCAAACCCTTCTTGAACGAACCAACTGAGGTTGCAGACACCACTTCTTCTGGGAGTCGGTTCCAAGAGTTTACGACTCGGTGTGAGAACCATTACTCAACAGCAATATGATTTCTTCTTGGCTTTTGAACTCTCCTGCTATGTCCTCTAAGGTGTTCCGACCTGGTGGGAAGGAAAAGAGAAAATAGGTCAGGTCCGTAGTCATTATTTAAAATTTTAAACATTGTGATTAAATCTCCTCTCTGCCTACGGTATGACAAGGAGAAGAGATTTAAACTGTCTAGTCTTTCCTCGTATGATAAGTTAGTCATGCCATGAATCATACGTGTTGCTTTCCTTTGAAAACTTTCTAGAATAAGTGAGTCCCCTTTTAATTCATGGATAATCCCCATCCAGGCATTAATGAAAACAAAACACGTAGATCAGCGAAGAGTCTCTTTTCGGCGAATTCATCTTCTTAGCTGTACAATCGCAAATATATATGCATTGTTTTGTTTGTATGTGTACATTAAGTTTGTCAAACAAAGTTACAATTGGTTAAGGTTAATTTTAACTAAACAAGTGAAGGTTGGTAATACAGGTCAAGAAAACTAGGGTAGTAACAAAGGTGATGAGATGTCAGAAACAGTTGTAATAATAATAGTGAGTTTTACTCAGGATGCACATAGAAACAAAGTAGAAATTATGTAAGAGGTCTAAGTGGATACAAGAATTACAATTGCTTAAGGTTATTTTAACTAAACAGGTAAAGGTTGGTAATATAAGTCAAGGCAATTAAGTGCTAGGATAGTAACAAAAGTGATGAGTTGTCACAAACAGTTGTTAAAAGAGGTTATGCAATAATAATATGAATATTTTGGTGAGTGAGTTTTACTCAGGATGCACATAGAAACAAAGTAGATAATACGAAACTATGTAAGAGATGAAAGTGAATACAAGAATTATAAGCAACTAAGGAACAGGCAAAGAAACAAAGTTAAGTTATCAGAATAAAATAAAATCAAAATATCAAAACATTGTTACCATGAGAGTAGAAGTGGTTGAGTAATCTTCTTTTGTATGCACAGCTCCGGTTTTTCCATGTGAATGGCTAGAGCTTCAGCGATACAGAGGAGACGAAACCGTATTGCCTTTGATAGGTTGTTCTTGACTCTGTAGATTACTTTGAAGGAGGCGTTCGTTGAAATGCAATGATCAGTGCTGACCAGGTGTTCAATTATCGCACTCCTTATTGCCCCAGTATTGCCTTTTCGCAACCATGCTGGATAGTGTTCTTGAATCCTCTTGGACAGGATGCGCGTCGAACGACCGATGTACCTGGCTCCACAGCAGCAGGTGAACTGGTATATGCACATAGAAGTGGCCAGATGCGGGATCTTGTCCTTGAGGCTTCTGCAGATTAGTGGGCGACTGGAGAACACTATTCTTAGCGTTGCTGCAAAGAATGTTCTTCTCAGAGATGATGTGATCCTTCTCTTGAGAATATCGCTTGCTAAATCTCCCTTGAAATCCAAGTTCATGTAGATTTTCTTTTTAGGCGCAGTCAAAGTTTCGTTTTTCCGAATTATTGGTTTCATATTTTTGTCGATAAATCTTATCGGGTAACCATTCTGGATGAATATTTCTCTCAGAATATCTAATTCTGTTTCCACAACGTCGGGACTACAGATGCGTCGGATGCGGGAAGCAAGTGATTTAATTAAATTCCGCTTTTGTTGAATAGGCACCCAGCTATAGAAGCTTGTTAGTTGACCATTCCACGTAGGTTTTCTATGGATTGATCTTCTTAGGCTCCCATCAGCTCTTCTTGTCAGTTCCACATCAAGAAACGGAATTTTTGACTCATTTTCCATTTCAAGAGTGAATTTTATTGCTGGATGGCACTCGTTGAATGTCTTCAGCAGTAGATTGGGGTCGTTGTTGTTGTCACAAATAATGAAAATGTCATCCACGTATCTTTTGTACAGTTGCAAATTGTCGATACTTGACTTTAGTGAACCTCTCTCGAGGTTTGCCACGAAGCAGTCTGATAGTAGTGGACCCAACGGAGATCCCATTGCAATACCATCCTTTTGTCTGTAGATAGTGTCGTTGAATGTGAACTGGACGTTCAGAGTGCATCTCAATAATAATTCTTTCAAGTATGTTGTCGGTATTCCAATATCGATGTGGTTGTCATCTATATATCTGCATATGAAGCAGACCGTTTCTGTGAGTGGGACATTGGTGAAGAGTGACTCGATGTCGAAGGATAGCATAATTTGGTTAGATACATTCGTGTCTTGTATGCACTCGATGAACTGGAAGGTGTCACGGAGTGAGTGCGTACATAATTGCTTCCTTACAGGTTCCAGAATATCTGCTAGCCATTGTGCAATAGAGTGGTAAGGGGAACCTGACATATCCAGAATTGGGCGAAGTGGGAGACCAACCTTGTGTACCTTTGGTAGACCATAAAGTCTTGGTATTACTGAACCTGTTGGCCGGATCTGGTCGTAAATATCCCCACTAATTAGTTGACTGGCCTTCATTCTCTTCAAGACGTCTGTGAGTTGCTTCTCAATCTGTTCCGTCTTGTTTCTTTCATTGGAAGCTTGGGAAAATTTGTCTTCATTCGACAGTATATCGTTCATTTTCTCGATGTAGTCTCTTCGATTCAGAAGCACTAGTCCCCTTTTAGACAAGGGCTGGCGGCCTGGATGCAGTTTTCCAGTCTTGACCTCACCAGAGATGTATATAAGGAGGTGAACATACTCTGGTGATTCTGGTGAAGGCTCTACGAATTGCCCATAATGACCTGAAACTACGTGCAGCCACCGCGCGACAGTGTGCTGTTGTCTTTAAGTCGTGGCTAACTATGACACCTAAGTCCAAGTAAGTCTGAACTGATGGAAGTGTAATTCCCTCTAGTTCATAAGAGCTCGTGCTTGCTTGTCCAATGCGCATGGTTGCACATTTTGTCACGTTTATCGGGAGCATCCATTCTACGGACCACTCTGACAATTTGTTGAGGCCCTCTTGCAACGTGGACGTGTCACTGTTGCCCTTCAGCTCTCTCCAAATTTTTAAGTCATCTGCGTATAGGACCATAGGGGAATCGGTGAGCAGAGATAACTCATTGATATACAAAATAAATAGGAGAGGTCCAAGTACCGTGCCTTGTGGCACTCCGCTGCGTACTGCTGTCCAAGAGGAGAGTTTCGAGTTGATCCTAACCCTCTGCCTCCTTTCTATGAGGAATTCCCTGAGCCAGTTTAGTAAGCTGCCTTTGATACCAAGACTTTCCAACTTCATGACTAGTCTTTTGTGAGGTACTTTATCAAAGGCTTTGCTAAAGTCTATGAAGACGACGTCAACGGGTCTTCTGTTGTCCCTGGATTTAACCCAGCTTTCTCTTACAGTGAGAAGATTTGACAGGCATGAGAGGTTCCTTCGGAAGCCATGCTGTGCTCTTGATAATAAGCTTCTATTTTCTAGATATGCCATTATGCTTTTCTTGATGATTCTCTCCAGTGTCTTAATTAGAGTGCTGGTGAGACTGATAGGCCTGTAATTTGAAGGGCTTTGTCTTGATCCTCCTTTGTGGATGGGGGTTACTATGGCGTCTTTCCAGTCACGCGGTAACACTCCATTTTGGAGAGAAAGCTTGAAGATCGTAGTCAAAGGGCCGGCTATGTGGGCTGATAGCTCCTTGAGAAGCCTTGGATGAAGATTATCAGGACCCATTGATTTCCCTGCATCTAGTTTCCTTAGGACGTTGAGCACGATGCCTTGGTCGATGTCAACGGAATCTATCCCATGTTCTTCTGATGCAGCCAGAGCTGATCCTGTAGGCAGTGACGACTCCTGAGTGAAGACTTGGGAGAAGTAGTTTGCCATTGCTTCTGCTTTTTCCTGATCTTCTTCGATTGTATCATTGTCAATAGTCAGGTTTGAGACACCATTGGATGTTTTATTCCTGAAGTTCATGTACGAGAAAATTTTCTTAGGTTGTGCCTTTGCATTTTGAGCCAGGTGTGCTTCGAATTTCATCCTTGATTTGCGGATTTCTGCAATAGCTTTATTTCTAGCAGTGTTATATAATTGCCTGGTCTCAGAAGTCTCAAGTGTGGCAAACAAGTTCCAACATTTGTGTTTACGTCTAAGCAACTTACGAATCTCTCGGTTTATCCAGGGAGGGCAGTGTTTCCGACCCTTTGGGACAGACCAAGGGATGAAAGGTTCAGTTACTTGGGCGTAAAGTTGTTTAAATTGGTTCCATGCGGCTTCTACTTGAGACTCAGGGCTGATGTACCAGTTTACTGAGTTGGCTGCTGAGACGATTGCATTTATATCAGCTTTCCAAACGTTTGGTCAAGATGGGGTTTTGGCCCTTGCTGCCGTTGCTGTGAACTTGCAAGTGAGCACAGCATGGTCACTTCTTCCTAAAGGAGGAAGATGTTGTATGAGATCTACATCCTCACCATGGGAGAACACTAGGTCCAGAGTTGAGGAGGAGTGCTATGTGTCATACCGCGTGGGCTCGATCATATGTTGGACTAGAGCTAACGATATACTAGATTCCAGCAGTTTATAATCAAAGGAGTTGACTGAGGATGGAGTTGTTAGGCTCGTCCAGTCAACTGTTGGGGCATTGAAGTCGCCAACTATGAGACTTCGACATTTCGAGGTCCAGGAGCCTAGCTTCTGTATCAGGAAGTCATCTGCACTGCAGTTAGGACTGCGGTACATAGCAATGAGGTCAATGTCTTGGCCTATGCATTTAAGTCTGCGG